GCGGGAGTCGGGCGTCGCTTACTGGGTGCAGTGACTGCAGGGAGAGGGAAATAACCGTTTTTTAGGTGTTTTACAAAGCCAGGTCAGTGGAGTTGGCCCCGTAGTTTGTGCACAGACTAAAAAAGTATACGGAGAAGTAATGTTTAGGGAAGGTTTGGTCTATCTGGGCCAGAAGAGATGTTTAGAGCCATAAATCACAAACTCTAAAATCTGTTCTTTGTTTGAATTAGAAAAAGGTTAACTTAGTGATTTTTTTTTTTTCTCCCGTACTTTATTTTTTGGGGGATGGGGTAGAACGTAGTCGTACAGCTTACATTACTTGGTAAAAGTAAACGCTGTCTAACTTAGCGCCTAACGAGGCAAGCTCTACTTTAAGATATCTGAGGATTTTACACTGGCCGTTGTTTTATGAGTGTGTATCTGTACGTTATGGCTTGTATCAGCAGCTTCTTGTGGCCAAAGCTTTGCGCAAACCTGTACATTCTCTCATGGGTGTAGCTGCATCTGTTCTTCCTACGGTTAATTTTTCATGTGCTGGTTAGGCAAAATCTTGCTGACAAAACGTGCTGGTTAGGCAAAATCTTGCTGACAAAACTTTGTTCTGAAATAAATTAGATTTTTATTTTGGTTTATATTTGTAAAAACTTGTCGATGTGCTGTTCTGCAGTTGACAATTGGAAAAACGTTGGATGTGCAGTATTAGGTGGAGTGTCAAGCAATTAGTTAAATGTGTGTAACTTGAGTTAAACCTCCTTTTTCACTCTCTAGGCAAATTACAATCGCATCTACATGGGAACGTGTTTTCTTCCACTGCTAGGAAAGTATCTCTTGTGGGCGTTTTTAAACTGGTCTGTGGTCTGTTGTCTGTATTCTGTACCTTCCTTTCCTGCGCATCAAGTGTCAGAGCAGCAACATAGGTGAAGCAGTCAGGACTTGTGGTGTTGTGTGCTTTTTTTCAAGGACAACCTAACATAGTGCTGAAACTTCTAGAAAATGTACAGTTGGTCTCTATAGTGACAATGGCTTCTTCGAAGTGTTAACTGAACTTTCATGTGTACAAAGCTGGAAAGCACAGGAATACCTTGTAGCCATGATTTCAAATACCAGTTAAGCATAGCTGTTCCTGTGGTAGATAAAGTCTCTTTTCATCTGTGGTTTTGTAAGATTAGAAACAATCAGTACAGCCTGTTTATAAACAAAATGCTTGTTGCCTCAGCCCAAAACTCTAGGCTTACTGTTGCCCCCGTTGTGTGTTTTCCTTGATTTAACATATAGGTAGGGATCATCTGTGTGATGTGTTCTTTGGTGTTTGTACAGAGGAGTGTAGAAGCCCTAATGAATAGGGAACGTCTCTTAAGTGCATATTGTAAAGCAGGTTTCAAGGCATTCCTAGAACTACTTGTTGCTTATGAATTATTTAACAGCAGCTTAATTTAATATAGCAAAGGAGTCATCTTCCTCTTCTGAAAAGCAGCAGTTCTGAAGAGAGGAGGAAGGCTTGTGTGGGAGGTGGAGGGGATATTACTGTGGAGTGGCCTGGGGTTTATCCGCAATGTACAGCTCTTTATTGAGATACTCCACATCGATGCCCCAACTATAGGTGCAGTTGTATGAGCAAAAATCCTTTTGTTGGTCCAGTTTATTCTATTTGGGTAACCGCTCTGAACTGGTCCTGGAGAATCCCCATAACATTAATTCTGGTTAGCCCTTTCTCTTGGCATAGAAAATCAAGTTTTATACCCCAAACTTGAGTTCCTGGCGACAGTATGAAAGCCCTGAAATAAACATATAGCTCTCTAGATAAAAGTTTCAGGTTTTTCCCCTTCCTCTCATATGACTTGGATTTCATTTGGGGAAAAAAAAAAATAGAATACACTGATAAAACAGATATGGCTGCTATAGTTCATGTTCTATTATTGATGGAGACTTACCACAGCAATGTGCTGTGTCGTAGAGGTCTTAGATGTCTTTCATAAGTGAGTATCTCTGGTAACTTCCTCGTAGGCTGACACAGCCTGTACTGTCTGTTCCCAGATGAGTTGCCAGTGTGGCAGCTTGCGTCTGTAAAGAGCTCTGGTGGCGAGAAGCCCTCTCTTAAGTTAGGCTCTTTCATCTCCTCTGAACTTCTGAGTTGTAAGTGCAGCCTGTTAAATCAGAGTGCAACATTTGATATGAAATGAAAACATTTCAGGGGGTTAAAATTAACTGAAATTGCATCACTTTGCTTTTGTCTTTTTTATCTAATTAAGTGTGCCATACGCTCAATACCATTGTTAGGAAATAATAGCCAGATTAATGATATCTTGATGTTTGCACCAACAGTGTATAAAATCACATGGAAAAAAATAGATATGACAGGTTTGAAAGCGTGGCCCTTTCTTTGCTTGCTGCAAAGGATTTAGGATTTACTCCAAATTGAGAGCAAGGTTGTTGGCTTTTTAAAGTTTTATTACGGAATTATGTTTAAACTATGTAGTCTTTCAAAGCCAAACAATTGAAACAGGTGCACAGAAAATTCCTGTGGCATTCATACTTCACATAGCTGAAGAAAGATTCAAGAGAGACCCGGGATAAAGGCTTTCACTGACGTCATGATTAAGCGTGCTGCTTCTGACGTGATGGGAGTTCCTCCTGCAGGCTTTTCTTTGCTTATCTTGTCAGCAGGTGTGAATCATCCCTTCTGCCTTATTGTTAGTTAATGTTACTGTAAGTGGAGTATTTCTAGGAGAGAGATGTTCCCAGATAATTCCTTTATTTGAAACTTTTGGAGGAGGGTGGGGTGTTGGAAGGCGTAGCTTGTTTTGCTGTGCTGTGTTTTGAGTTAGCATGGTACTAATGTGCTAACAATGGGGTCCTGGTTTCTTTATTTTCATTCCTGTGTTTGTATGTGAGAACTTTATCTCACGTTTGACTACAACCTTCTGGAGAATAAAGGTTGGTGTAGTGGCTTGGTAATGTGCACCTTAGCATCTACTGTGTGTAAATGTACACCCAAGTGTGCAATACTGTGAGGCTGAAACTTTCTGTTAGTATTTTGTTCTATGTGCCCTCTCTGTTCTGCTTAAAACTAAGCTTGCTAAAAAAAAGGTGGTTTAAAGTCTTTGTTCACTGCAGGTCAGCAATGGAATTCACAAAAAAAAAAAACTACCAATGGATTTTTTTCTATTTTTTAGTGATTAGTTTATTACCCTTTTAATTCATTTTCAAGCTGGTCTGCTTTTAGTAACCTGGCTGCTGCTGTCTCTTAATTCCTTTTAGCATCCTTATGTTGTGTGTACCTGATACGGAGGGTTTGGAGTAATCTTTATCCAATGCTGTTTGTTTTGGTTCCTGCATGTGTTGGGCAGAATACTATAGTTTTACCAGTTATGCTTGCTAAAAAAAAAAATTGGTCTAGTCTATATCAAATGCTTACTCTTATTTTCACTCAGTTTAGTCTTATGCCTACCACCAGTGAATTGTTGCTAGCATTGGTTTTTAATAGATTTTTGTGATATAGGTGATAGAGGAAACTGAAGTGCGAGTGGACTAGGAAGCTGTTTTGGAGTTTTCTTTTTTGGCTGAAAGACTAAATGGAAAAGCTACCCCTGAAAGCACAGTGATAGTACTTAAATGCTTTCTTTGTGTATCTTCTGAATCTCGCCCATTTCATACCCTGGATACAACCACATTTTAAAAGACTATGCAATCAGAAATCGAGTCTTGATCACGTAGGCAAATCTTCTGAATGCGCTTAAGGAGTAGTGGCTGATTGCCTGCTTTATATCTTTCTTTAGGTAAGAGCAAAATTGACTTGAGATCAGCTCACTAGAGCTTTGCTTTGTACGGAAAAGCAGCAGCCATTCTTTGAAGTCTTCAGGTCAAAGTGGCTTTTTCGTTTCTTGTCCGAACAACTGGGAATGTAAAAACTACTTAGTCTTGCATAGGTTAACCACAGCTGTATAGCAATCCAAACATACTGTCCTAAAGTGCACTGAAGTTTCTTTTTAGAAAAAGTTCCAGGGAGTCACGTACCATCATAACTTTTGCTTTTGAGCCACCAGCATCAGTGCTGGGTATGAATTCTGGCCCTTACCAAGAACAAGGTTGTTTCATAAGCATGTAGGAATCTGCAGTTATTCTTGCGCTAGTTTGTCACCTTAGTGCCAAGCTCCCCTATTAGTGAATGCTTTGACCTAACCAGAACAATGAAAACAACTTTTGCATATTCAGAAGTATGTGCTTGATCAAGACCAAAAATAGTTAAAACCTTGGGGGGTGGTAAAAAAACCCCTGTTTAAACTGCCTTTTTTTATGCCACTTCATAATTATTGTAGGTTTTAGTGCACTAAAATGTTATGATGTTATAATTAAAGAACATTTCTGGTTTAACACTCAAATCATTTAATTGAGGATGTTATATCTCACATAGTTAATATGGGAATCTATTTTATTGTAGTTTGGAGCAGAATTTCGACGATTTTCTCTGGAGAGATCCAAACCTGGGAAGTTTGAGGAGTTCTATGGATTGTTGCAGCATGTGCACAAGATACCAAATGTTGATGTCCTGGTGGGATATACGGACATTCATGGGGACCTGCTGCCTATCAATAATGATGACAATTACCATAAAGCGGTTTCCACAGCCAATCCTCTACTCAGGATTTTCATTCAGAGAAAAGGTAAGTGCACCTGAAGTCTGTGAATCGTCTGTTTACCCAGTTATGCCATGTTGCAGTACAGTGCGATGTATGGATAAAAAACCCTTCAGTCCTATTTCATTATGTTGAGTTCAGTAATAATTATGGATTATGAAAGGTATTCACAACTCCTGTCTTGCAAGAGCTTCCTCGGGCAACCTATTCATACTTTGTGCTATTTTGCTTGTATTTATTTCAGTTACAATCAAGTTAAATCTCTAGCAAATGCTTCTATCTGTTTTTATGTAAGCAAATGAAAATAAACTTTAACCTTCTAGGGTTTTCTGCTCTGTATGTTGAATGCCTTTCACTTAAAATTCCAATCTTGATCAGACAAGGAGAAGAGGCCATTACAGGATGGAAAGGAATCTTGAAAGTCTATTTACATGGAATTGTAAATGTCAGTATAAATTAAAGACTTTGTAATATGCTACCCCTCAGACTTTCCTACCTAATAAAACATTCTGAAACTTTCAAAATTACAAGCTTATTTCAGTTAGCAAACCTCAAACCTGAGTGCTGCTTAGTTTGTTTGCTTGACCTTAAAAATAGCATGTCTTCTAGGCACAGAGTTTTGTTTGTCCCTTTCTAGTGTGCTTTTGTTCATGAAGAAAAAATCAAATTTAAGTTGTATTTGTTGTTGTCCAAGAGAATGTACTTAGTATGTGAAACTGAAGGGGAGGGGGAAACCTATTGATTTGACTTGAAATTGTTTTAATCCAGAGAAGCCAAGAAAACCTGATTTCTGCATTTGTTGGTTTTCTGCTTAGTTGGATACAGGTGTGAGTATGCATGCATTGTGAACACAGTGCATGTGCAGTTCCTTTCATAAGGCAGTCAACTGATCTTTCAGTAGCAGGCTGCTTGTTGCTTAGCTGTTTTATGAAGATCTGCACTGTTTCTGGTTGTTGCTAAGACAAGTTTGTTTTCCTTAGAAAATACTTGGGCAACAGAAGTGTTTATCAAATTTCTTACTCCAAATAATGAACGTGCTTCACAACTGCCTGACACAAATGGAATGTTAAAAAATTATGTGGCTGCCTGCCAAAATGCTTTTGCATTGTTTATATTGAGGATAGTATAGTCTAGTAAGGCCTACGTATTCAGCCCTGATTTGCCAAAAGAACAAACTATTTGCTTTAATAGCACCTAGAGGTACAAAAGGTCTCTGATTCCATTTAATCTCTTACAGTAGCCATATGACGAGAACAGATAAGCCACTTTGTCAGACTGGGATTATTCAGGTTATGTTTTAACACCATATGTTTAGATTGTTACTAGTGTTAGGTGTTTAATGCTGACTGTTAATAGTGTTACATTTGCGACACCTCATACCTTTATTCATTGTACCTTTATTTAAAGCATCATGAAATTGATACAATGCACAGAACTGCGAATAAGATAAACCCACTTAAGTTTATCATGCCAAGACTTGATTAGAAGGAAGAAGTATGTAGAAAGTATCAGTTGTCATCACCTTCCCTTTGACATGAGAGGCTTCTGGCTATAGGGTTTTAGGGAATAAAGAATCCAGGCTGGTGTCTTAACTTCCAGCACTGAACTTTGTTCTGAATTAGTTGTGACCACTTTGATCACTTCTGTTGATTAATTTAGGGCTTTGGCTTCATAAAGAAGGTGCTAAGCACCTTTGCCATATAGAACAGAGGTCAGATGGAAAATACAGAAATAACTTGGCTCTGAATTTCATTTATGATAATTTGCCTGTAAAAAAAAAAAAAAGCTGAATTTCGGGAGGTAAAGATATGTGATGATTTGTGCATCTGAATTAGTTTAGGTGTGTTTAATTCATCTGATGACACAGAACTTTATTGGCTCTACCTCTGAAATTCAGAATCAGGTGTGTGAACAAAGACCTGCTATTGGTGGGCCTGCTTTGGTCTGTGCTGTTTTGGAACTACAGTAAGTGACACAAGTTACTTTCCCATGTGCAAGGCTGCTTGTGGCTTTCAAAAACATTCTCTCAAATCATCTGAAAAATTTCAGTGGGTTTTCTAATGGAACTTTGCCTTAGTTTGTATTTCCAGCAGTAATAGTTGGGAATTTAACAAAAAAGCCACTGTGGGGAAGAAATTTTTTGCTGTCTTAAAAATGAAACTTATCATACTGTCTTACCTATTTAGAAGCCAAATGCAATTTGTAGAAAGCTAACATAAGGTAGGAGCAGACTACAGTAAAATCAAGGGTAAATAGTATTAACTTAATATATTGCATCCAAGGAACACATTAAGGGGTTGAAATGGGAGCAAGAAGATGCTTTTGTAATGTTAATAAGTGACAGTTGTGATAATGTGACTCCAAAGTTTTTGAAATTTTGGTATGCCAGAGTAAACTGTCTTTTCTGTTTGATTTTTGACTCCTAATTTATGAAGGCTAGAAAGTTGCCTGTTCTAAGCATTTACGTGTACTGGTTAATGTGCTAAGAAACCTAGTGATCCTGTAATGAAATGAAATCATATCACATTATTCCCCTTAGATGCTTCTAATTGTATTTAACTAAATTCCTTTAAAATATTTTAAACTGTTCAGTGCTAAATCTGAACTGGAGGTTGATACTGCAGAAGTCAAGAATGGCTACCAGTTAGTAGAAAACAGTTGCTTATCGGAATTTCATTCTGCCGTTTAGCAGATTAACAGGTACTGTTGACATCTGGAATTTAAAGGTTAACCTGATGTATCCTGAGTAAATCCAGATGTATGGGAGTCGCTCTGTCTGTGAGAAAAATCTTACCAAAGATAAAATGGTGGGGGAGACATACTCTGCACAGGCCCGGAAGGGCAGTTCGATGTGGGGGACTTTGCACTGTAAAAACAAGAATAATCGAGATGATAACCTAACAAAATGCAGGTTTCATTACAGTGTCCTTAAAAGTCACTTTTAGGATGTTAAATTACAGTATACAAGTTCTTGCATGTACATGGCTGTTTGTAGTAAAAAGGGGGTTCTTTGCTTAATTAATTTGTGCCTCTTGAGATACTTTTCACTGGGAAGCTTTATATTGGTGAAAAGCTAGAGGAATTGGCTTTTTAAACAGTACTCTATGGAATGTCCTAGCTGTTCTGAGCCCTGTTCCTAAAAGCATGGGTTAGTTTCCAAAAACCATGCTTTGTTATAACTTGTGACTAAAGAGACGAGATTTGTGGGGGTTTATTTTAAAAATGCTCAATTGCATCTATATTCAAAGGTACTAATGATTTGGAGGTTTTGAAGATTTATTATGGAGTAACTCTACATTGCTTTGCAAATAGATGAGGAAAACATTTTGAGTATCTGTCTTGAACAATGTTAAACTGAAACCTGATTTGGCATTTGTGGGCTTTGGTTTTAAATTTCATGTAATAAGGATATACAGATTGGTGCCACCTTGAGCTTGAAACTTCTGGCGGGGGGGAATCATTGTTGCACTATGTAGATGGTTCTCCTTCACACTATCTGTAGTTAACACCTTGTCCTTTGGCTTTATGCCAAAATATTTTCTGCTGCAGCTTTAAACTGATTAGCTAGGTGCCAGAACAAAGATGCCTTTGTACTTGAGAATATTGCTTCAGAAAACTTGTTTAGAAGTGGAAGAGAGGTTAAGCAGGGTCACGCTGCTTGTCTGGGACTTGGAGAGATGAGTTTTCATCAACCTTTCACTATTTCCTTCCCACGAAATATGTAGCTTTAACTGTATATCTTAAGGTTTGTGCTAGTTGTATGTAGTGTTAGTCTAATAATTTACAATGCAAACCAACTTACTTTCAGGTGCTTTGTGGTTTCTTAAATGTTTTGATGTATGGCTTGCAATTTTGGGATGCTTTTACTGCAGCAGCAGGTCATGTAACTTAAGTTTCGAAAAGCAAAAGCACCAGCTCAGTGTTAAGATTTCTGATTCTAGATTTGTCTTATGAAAGACTTTTAAAGTTCATGTATCTTCCAATAAATGTTTTTCTGATCTTCATTTTTTGTTTAAAAAGCACTTTTGAATGTTAGTTCACATTCAGATATATTTAGAAGGAAATTTTAAAGGCACAGAAGCAGGCTGTCCCCATATGCCAAAAGACAAGCCAGTGGGGAATATCATTGGCCTGATTGAACAGAACTTTGGCTATAACTCAGGAGGAAAAAAAACAAGTTTATGACCTTTGGAAAAGGGGCAGGCAACTCAAGAAGACTACAAGGATGTTGTGAGGTTAGGTGGGGAGAAAATTAGAGGGGCCAAAGCCCAGCTGGAACTTAATCTGGCTACTGCTATAAAAGACAAAATGTTTTATAGAAACATCAGCAACAAAAGGAGGGCTAAGGAGAATCTCCATCCTTTATTGTATATGAGGGAAACATAGTGACAAAGGGTGAGGAAAGGGGGAGGTACTTAATGTCGTCTTTGCCTCCGTCTTGAATAGTAAGACCAGTTGTTCTCTGGGTATGCAGACCCCTGAGTCGAAGATGGGGATGGGGAGCAGAATGAAGCCCCCAGAGTCCGAGTTGAAATGATTAGCAACCTGCTGTACCATTTAGACGCACAAGTCTATGGGCTGGATGGGATCCACCTAAGGGTGCTGAGGGAGCTGGTGGAAGTGCTCACTAAGCCACTTTCCATCATCTACCAGCAGGTTGTTTACTACCTACCAGGCTGATGCCCAGTCAGGTCCTGAGAGCCAGGCTAAGCCTGAGAGAGGTCACACCAGATCCAGAGTGGGCCCCTCAAGCAAGAAAGAGCAAATGAGGAAGTCAACTAACCTGGCACCTGGCCCACCTCCAACTCTGTATACTGAGCATGACGTTTTATGGAATGGAATACCCCTCTGGTCAGTTTGGGTCAGCTGTCCTGGCTGTGTCCCCTCCCAGCTTCTTGGAGAGAAGAAGCTGGAGCACAGGGGCAGTATCAGAAACTGAAAAAGGCCTTGACCTCATACAAACATTGCTTGGCAGCAACGAAAACCACTGGAGTTATCAGTAGTCTTCTCAGCACAAATCCAAAACA